TTATTCGACCTTTAAATTATTATTTTTATAGTTCTTTGGTCTATATTCACATTTTGTTACTCTCAAGATATAAACTATCAATGTAACTTCGACAGTGACATGACAGGTGATTGTCAATTCATACTAGAGTCAGCAGGAACCTATAATTTGAACTTAACATATGGCAGTAATCCTGCTGGTAATCCTACTCAACCCTTGTCTGATGTTACTGCCATTCGTAAGTGTTTTCAAATGAAAGAAAATACAAATCATTATCGAATGTCATTTTTTATACAGAATCACTAACTACACCTAACAATGAACCCTGTGTTTTTCCATACGCCTATCCATTGGCAGGCTGGCAAATGTACTTTTGTCGACGTAATAATAATAACAGTTACACGTGTCCAACTACATCGGGTGGCCCGGGACAATGTCTCATCGGTTAGTGATTTTGATAGATTTCACGCCATCTTAACATTTTTTGAACACACTAATTCCTTGTAGGAAAATTCGCTAACATAAGAATATCAGGTATTGGTAAATTTGATCAAACATATTCAACTGATGTTACACGAAGCTCCAATCCTATCCAGTGTCTTGATTTCTATTATTATATACCTGGTAAAACAAATAATCCCAAAATGCAAGTAGGCTGGAAAACAGATGCAGACACACAACAAATAGTTGAATTTGAAGTACCACTAGAAAACAGCTGGCAACACAGTCGGAGTAGCTTTACAGCTCCTATATCACCTCCTTATCAAGTGAGTAATATTATAGCCTCTTATGGATATAAATAATTGATGGCTTCATTGAATTTTGTTCATTGTCATTTAAGCTTACGTTCAGAATGATGCGTGATTCCCAAAGTGCAACTAATTATTTTGGTTTAGATGAAATCAAGATCTATGATCAACCTTGTGGTATGCTTTCTTATCGCCAGCTGCTTACTTGTTTTGACATTCAGCGTATTTTCTATTACAGATTCTGGCATCACGACAACTACCACTGAGCCACCGATTATCGAATCAACAACAACTACCACTGAAACGCCGACTACAGAATCAACAACAACCACTACTGAGACACCCACTACCGAATCAACAACAACTACTACTAAAACATCAACTACCGAGTCAACAACAACTACTACTGAAATACCGACTACAAAATCAACAACAGCTACCAGTGAAAAATCAACTACCGAATCAATGACAACTACCACTCCATTACCTGGAACCACTACCTTTACATTAACAACAACTACCTCATTATTACCCAAAACAACGATTACTGTACGAACGTCAACAATGTATGTTTTATCTTTGAATCTTTCAACAAATCATTAAGTCAGTGATCCATTAAGAAACTTCGAGTTTGTGAGAAAACTATGATAAGATCATTTTTTTATCATTTTTCATGAAAGTCATTGTATTTGCATTTTTCTCATGTCAAAATCAACCATGTTTCGGTTGGGTTATTTATTCAAGTTGCAACCCTCTCTAATAATGTATCACACATGCTTCGGAGAAAATTTAATTTTTGGATATTGAAATCACTTTTTATCTTATCTGATAGTTAGCTGTCACATATCTTTTTGATATTGTT